GTCACACCATATGTGGCTTTACCAGGCTGAGTAGAGGGCAAGAATCAAGCCCCAAAATTGCTGACAATGCTCTTCCTACTGTCTATGAGTATCTTCAGGGCCTTTTCTGGAAAGCTACTTTCCAGTCCACTGGTCTCCAGCATATACTGGTGCATAGGGTTATTCCTCCTCAGATGAAGGAGGCAATCAGCTACAGGAATGGGCACGGTACTGTGTGCACTGGAATAGCAGTGGGATAATAAAGTCTACTTAAGACGTGTCTGACATCTTAAGTATTAGGATTAGCATCTGCTATCAGGGCAGATATCTACACGTTTTGAAAGTCTTCCTTGTCTCCTCTAGACTGCAAAGGTCACTGCAGAGAGTATGTCTATTTAAAATTCAGTTAGGTCAATTAAATCTTTGGTTACATTTTGCTCAGTATTCCTGAGTCATACCTACAAACTATATGACATTGTATGGTGCCATAAAAACAGTCTTACAGAAGAAAAAATGTTACTTTCTCAGGCAGTATCAACAAAATATATTCAGCATAGATATATTGCTGACACAACAGACGTGCATTGCATTGGATAACCTACTAATTACCCACTAGCATGACTATGCTGTCCCTACCAAATCTTAGTCTTTTTCTGGAGTGAGTTCTACACCCTACATACCCAGTTGTGGGAAGGGATTGTCCCACTATGCTCTATGTAGCCTCATCTCAAGCACTGTGTGCAGGTTTGGGCACCACAACGTAAGAAGAATATCAAACTATTAGAGAGCATCTAAAAGGAGGCTGCAAAGATGGTGAAGAGTCTGGAGGGCAAGATCTCTGAGGAGCAGCTGAGGTCTCTTGGTCTGTACAGCCCAGAGAAGATGAGACTGAGGGAAGAACTCATAGCAGCCTACAGCTCCTTTGGTGGGACTTCTGTGCTTGCAGCAGCCCAAAGTAAATATAGAAATGTTCTGACCTGGGCTGAATCACTTTTTCTTTTGTGTTCTTTTTAAAGCTGCAAGAAAGCCACCATTGGTAATTACATATTACCAATATGTAATATGGTTTTACATATTAAAAAAGCCACAACAAAAAATCATTTAAAAAAGCACAAACTGTGGTCAGAAAACCCAGTCAAGCTAGAACACCTATGCACAGACATCTGATCACTTCATTCACAAGCCAGGCAGTGTGCCACAGGTGTCAGTCACTCTGCTTGACACATTCACTATTAACTCACCACCTCAAGGGACACTGAACTCCAGACAATCTCCCATAGTCATCACTGACCCTTTCTAAATGAGGCTGATTGGTGTTATTAGGAGATGGCATCTGTGTTGGTGCAACACAACTGACATAATGTGAAAGCCTCAGAGTGCTTCAAAATAATTTGGAGGATGCCGTATCAAGCGGCAACTGAAGGCGTGTATTACACTGCAATCAAGTAGGATGATCTACAAGCTAAATTAAACAGAAATATGTGCCCTTTCTCTTATTTCCATACCATGGACAGAAAGATGCATCAGAAAAATACCAGTGTTACATCAGTCTAGTCAGATTTTGCAAAAGGCCTTTGTTGCTGTTTTTTTTCCAGATATGCCTTCTTACTCATCTTCACTGGAAGGTTGGGAAAACAGTGCAATAAAAGCAGAGTAAAACTTATGACAGACAGCTGGAATTAAAAAGCACAATCTATTTCCCAAAATGATTCTGAACTTCTGTTAATGCATGGGGCTGGATCTTGGCTTCACACCAGTTTTGTAGTTTAAAATGTAATATCTTCCTTGAATTTTCAATAGACGCAGTCTGGATGTTTCAAACTTTACAACTGACAACAAAGCACATTTTTCCTTTACTTCTATATCAGCTTTCAAAACTCTCCACTAAAATGTTATTACGGTTTTCAGTTAGAGATTCTAGAGCTCAGAGTCATTGTGCAGGCATCCCTGTTTTTTTCAGCAGCATCTAAAGTGGCTCTTTGTGTGTGTGTGTATATACAAGTCTATGCTAATTACAGATATGTGTCTGCATGTGTGTATATGATGTGTTTACATTTAAGAATGGAGCTGCTGTGCAAACTGACTGACTGACTAACGTATCAGCTGAATTTATTTTAACGCACTCTGGCAAATCTCCCAGCTGCCATATAAAAGAAGGTTTGTACAATGCATGTTCTGATATATTTGACTGGAGACGGATGCATAGGCAGAAATGCTCATGCGTGTGATGTGAAACATGGAGAGGAATGTTTGTTCTCTTTTCAGCAGGACTTTGGGACTCAGAGTCCCAGCAAACACAATACAACTGATGCTTTTTTTTTTTTTTTTTTTTTTGCTACCAAGATAACCGCCACAAACATCTCATTTTTATCATTGGAAAATCAAAAAGATTGTGCAATCCTGCCTCAAGCTCTTGAAAACTCATGCACTCATACAACAGTGGTTTTTTTTTGTTTTTGTTTTTGTTTTTTTTTAAATGAGAGTGAAAAACACTTTGCAAAATATTTTTCTCCAGGCTGGGATGGACCCTGACAGTGGATAAGAGAAACACATGGATATTAAACGTCCAGGATGAGTACTACTACTTCACCACGTCTATTGAAAGGACAGAGAGCTCTCAAATTATTGCTGGCAGAAGAGAAAGTGCCTGGATTCAGGAGACCCCAGAGCAAAGATCCAGGTGTTATGGACCTTCTTTTCTTCTGAATTCCTATTCTACTAACACTGTTTCTTCTGTGGGCTTGCCAGTGGCTCTGTCCCCAGGATCTACCTGGCCATATGGAAATGCATAACCACAAGGGATGCGCGGCGCCCCCCCCCCCCCAACAACTCCCAGTGCAGTATATCTTAAGTTCAGCACAGTTTAGTTATGTAACTAAAATTACATTTGACTGGTAAGTGCCTCAATTCTTGAAGGCATGTACCTGAAGTCAAACAATACAAATAATAGCATTAGAGTTGTGACTGGCTTTTGGCTCTTCTGATCTCTTTCAGATCCAACTCAACAATGCTTTAATTAATACTTTTGAAATGCCCCCATAGTTAAATATATAATAAAATGTCATGTAAGATCTTCAGACTTTCTCACCCCCTTCCTGGCTCTTCTGTATGACATGAACAGAAAGTATGCTCTTTGTGTGTCCCTTTTATGATCTAAACAGGAAGGGAACACTAGAGAAATTGCTTTCTTGTAACCATGCTTAAGATAACTGATAAGAATATTTAAGATAGTTTTAGCAACATACATAACTTCAAAGGGAAATCTGACTAAATAAATCAACCAGCATGATCAAGAGACAGAACAATTAAACATATAATAAGTCACATCACTTATACTGTTACATAATGTAACAGTGCATAAAAGTAGAAAATAAATAAGCAAACTGCTTAAGCAGTCTGTAAGTTACATTAAAAAAAATTGCTCTTTCCAGAAAGGCATTGACCCTGACAACCATGTCACAAGAGTCATGTGTTCCAATACAAAATCAAAATCCTCCTTGCATCCTGTTGCAAAGGTTGCAAAGGCAGCCAGCTCTGGGCCCCGGGGAAGCACCTTGCAAAGCAGAAGACCTTTGCAGAGAAATACCTTTCACTGATCCTACAGAATTCATTTAATAGAACATCCCCAGGTGATTTCTAGCTGCTACAGTGATGAATAGACTGAAACGAAATATCTCTGATATAAAAGTCAGAAGAAAAGGGAGCACCTAAACAAAGGCTGCTCAAATCACTGACAGAAATATCCCAAAAATGTAAATACAACAGTAGCAGTTTACTTGGAAGGAACATAAAAAGCATGTTTCAGAGCTGAAGTCAATACCTAGATGAGAAAGGGATCACAAGAAGACATTCCTATTGAGCAGATCCACCTCTATCTGCCTACTGCATAGTTAGACAGTTTTTCAGAGCATTTGCAAATATACTGACTGCTGTCAGAAAACCATCTGTTCTCACATTTCTGTGCCTCCCACCAAAGCAGATCTGTGATCTGAGAAGAGACATAACCTCTATAGTGAAAAACATTGCAATAACTTAGATTACCAGGAGAATGTCTACTTAGAATTATATTAACTTGGTTTGTGCTCTGAGGAAGACATGTAGGTATTTTTGAGATGTGGTGTGGGATGCAAAGGGGTGGAAGCAGTCCTACTGCATACACACATGGTCTTAGTACAAAGCATCCCGATTATGAGCAGCGGCAGTAGGACCACTGAAAATTAAGGATTTAGTCTTTCCCTTTTCTGGCAAACATTTCTCCAGTCTTGGCACCTAAACAAATGCTAGAGAAGAGTCTAGATTCTTCACAACTTTTAGATGAAACCTTGACAAATGAGACACAAATGGTAGAATAACGCAGCAGTGACAAAAGCTCTGATCTGACAGTCAGGGCATACTGCTGTGCTTGTGCAGGGTCTAGATGACTGTAATCAGTCTCACAGAAGCAGAGCAATCCCTTTGCACATTACCATCCAAGAGACTGGGACCTAATTTGGTATTCAGCTCCACACCCCCATTGTGTTGGCAGTGGTTCAGAATTGGTGAGACAACTTGCAAAGGATAAAAATAATAATAATAAAAAGCAATGTTTTAAGCCTCTCTAATTTAATGTTAGCTTTTGATGTGCCTAATATCAAAGTTTTTTTTTTTCCACTTCTATTTAATCAAAATTAATCACTAAGATTACTACCGTAATTTATGTTGGAGATTAATTGAATTGACTGTTTTATTAAAATCTGGTTTTATTAATAAAACACATTCTGGCTACGGAATCATATGACTCTGCTATTAGGGACTATTAACTGGGGACTGGGAGTTAATCATAACAGCTATGCTGCCAGGTCCTTTGACAGCAGCACATGCTGAGTTTGTTTCTACTTTTACTTTTACTAGCACATTCAAGTCAATTAGTTACCCTAGCATATGAGCATTCTGAGTAACTACTGTAAAAGAGGGAGTAGAGACAAAGGTACATACATCTCAGTAGTTCTGAACAAAGAAAGGGTAATCAGGAGGAGACTCACCAGCCTGATTAGTCGTGATGCTGACAGCAGCAAATTGTCTGGAAAGTGTACTCAAGTCAGATACCCCATTGACCGCATCAATCTCAAAAGTGTAATTGGTATGTGCCAAAAGGTCCACTACTGTCACCGTGGTGTTGGTGAGGCCAGCCTGACGGGGTAAGAATCGTACGTTGTCACTACAGGGCTCGCATATCTTGCTGCTTCCTCCACATTTTTTGCAAATGATGTTGAAAGTGACATCCTTTCGACCTCCTGTGTCAAGAGGCCAGCTCCAGTCCAGGATAACAGATGTCTCATTGATGTTAGAAATAACGTTTCTTGGAGCAGATGGTGGTCCTACAAAGGAAAGAATAGGTATTTCTGTATTGCTCTAAAATGAGAGTAGCAAGGGCACAAGCATATAAAAGCAAAAAACAAACAAACAAACAAAAAAACAAATAACCAAACTGTTCTAGTTACTTCCTGTAGAGAATTCTGAAATATTTCACTAGGCTACAGAACTAGAGCATCAAGAACCACATTTTGCTCGAAACAGTTAGTACTCTGAGGGCATAGTTCAGGACAGAATGTCACTCTTCGAGAGTTGTTCTGTAGGACAGCTACTGATAATTGCTCTTGGATTTTGATGAAAATATTGGTATGAATTTAAAAGTCTCAGCTCTCCTTCTCAACTCTGACAGAGAACTTGGACAAAATGAAAAGAAAACGACACAAATCCAGCCCAATAATTTCTGGTAGCCTGTCCAACATGTATGAAAACATGGCAGGCAATGGATGGCTGACTGCAATGGAAAATGGGAGGAAGCAAGCAAGCTGCTCAGATACAGACGGAAGAGCAAAAAACGACAGCCCCAAGCACAATGATGCTACTCACTGGTGCAAGCCATGGATGGAGGGTCTTTCTCAGAGCGAAAGTAATTCTTTTCACACCTGCAGTTCAGAGATGCATCTTCATAGGTGGAGCTGTGAGGTGGACATTTGGCACACTTCACATTGCCAGCAGAAGCTTTATAGAACCCAGGTCGACAAGCTGCGAAATGAAAAGAATGAAATTTTAAATTTCACGGACAGCTCTTCCATTTTAACAGGTGATATTTTAATCGTCCTGGAATCTTTCATATATAGATCATATTTTTGAGTGTTTACAATCTAAAACCCTCAGTTTTCTCATGAGAAAACTAACAGAAATTAACTTCTTAGCAGAATGAAGTCCTTCATGAATCAGCTTCAATTTATATTGTTTTGCTTGAATAGCAGAACAGTATATTGCAAGAGGAAACATTTTCTACACTGCGTTACAAGAACTTATTTTTCTTAGCTTCTGGTTTGTTTACCAGAACATGGTCCCTAAATTGCATAAGAAACTAACTTTATCCACTTACTGTTGCTGGGATTTGTTTACAAGGGAATGCTAATTGTAAGCTATTCAGTTCAGTGTGACTAAGCCATCCAAAATCAAAAAAATAACCTGAATAGTGAAAGATCTATTCCATTACTGAAGGCCTACACATCAGACTCTATGAGCTGCCTCTGATACTGACTACAAGAAATTTGTGGGATATGTACTGTGAGGATGCTTTTTGTGTTAACACAGTCCTCCAGGGATGGTGCTGCAGCCCACAGAATCTGCTTCTGACAAAGTCTTGATGGTGGCTTTTCACCAACATTTGCAAATCCTTTCTGTTTTGGTTCCTGTTGCATTTCAGACTGATTCAAAGGCACATTTGCATCAGATGAAAATGGTCTTTGAAGCAAATTACAGTAAAGAACGATCAAGTAAATATCTTTTTATGAAAAACTCATGCAATTAAATAACATGGTTGACTTCTTTCCAGTAAGATGATCTCACCATCTAAAAATTCAAAAAAATTAAACCAAAACCAGATAACACTCAGACTCTGCAGCTCAGCTGTAGTTTCTCTCCAAGGCACACATCCTTCTCCAAACGGAATATACCCAGTATCGTCATTCTGGCTGACACACCAATAAAACTGTAACTGTAACTACACAACAGCTGTACTACAGCAGCACACAGACAACAAAACAGAAGAGATTGCATCTCAAAACAGGTTCACCTATTGCTTTCATTTCACAGCAAGCACTTGCCTAACACACATTACTAACAACCTTAGGAAACCCCAGTACATTCTCCTATAATGTTAAAATAATAATAATAAAAAAGAGCTACACAATCTAAAACACAACCTTTTTTGTGTGTGTATCTGGAGCCCAGACAGTCAAGGATAACTAAAATGGTTCTGGACCTGTCATTGATTTAAAAGCTACTTCAAACCAAAAGAATAGGTACACCAGTCTTAGCATGAACCAACGCAGGCTCACATTTCTCATTTTTGCTTATGGAGGTGAGCTGATTCACAAATGGTAGATGAAAAACAACATACAAGATGATGTGGTCCTGTCCATTCATGCATGCAGCGCCCAAACAGAAAAATAAGTTTGGATGAGCAGACTGTGGTAATCAAAAATAATTACAACACTTTCATAAGAGATGGAGTAGAGGGAAGCTCCAGTACTGGCCATTCAGTTCACACAATACCATCTATAATCATTTCATACATGAATTTCTGGTTCATTAGCTTTGGGCACCAAACACCTGAGTGAAACACACTGGAAAGCAGAGGGAAACCAAAACCTCACACAGCTGCACATTCAGCCTTGAAACATCTCAACAAAGAAAAACTTCCTGGCACAGCACTGAGCCGGTCTGGAGATGTAAGAAATGTTTCACAGGAAAGTGCTAATCTCAGCCACCCTCCAGCACTTCGAAGCCCTTGCAAATAGAGGCTGTTTGGCTGCAGCTGCTGCCTCCCATGCCATGCTAACAAAACAGCTGAGAAAGTCATCTCCCACTTCACAATGCCTCCTGCAAGCCTTAGTGAAATAATCCCCAGGTTGAGCCTCTGGTGCACAGTGCCACCAGGCCACTTGTGAAAGTCGAGTTGCTAAAAGTGCTTCTGCAGCAAAGCTTGCAGACCCTCATGCCAAGCTGTAGGATTCAGCACAGCCTGACCTTCTGCAGCTGGGGCTGCTTTTGTTTCCACCTCATCCCAGGCTGTGAGGCTTTTTTGGAGATTTTTGCTTGTTTAACTTTTGGAAAATAAAGGAGAATTCAACATCTCCTCTTAAACACCTCCACTAGGAGAAAATACAGCAGAGAATTGGCTTTTTTTTTGGTTTATTGCTGCAGATGTTGCAGTCCTAAAACTCAGGTCTCATCCTTTCTTAACTACTGCCCCATGATAAACAGGTCACGCCTATTTGTCTCTATTATCCCTCCTGCTGACAGAGGAGCTTCTGAATATTTTACTGCCTTCTGGTCCAGAATGGGCTTTCCTGGCCCCAAGAAAAGAAGGGATAGCAATCCCACCCTTTCCAGTACCAGTAACCAAGACAGCACATAAAGAAACAAGCACCACACTGCCGCTGTGTATTGATTTACACACCATCTTCACCAGAAGTTCCCGTGGAAATTCAGTGCCAGTTATAAAAAACAAATGGCTTCACTTAACCATATCTACTTAGCTTGAAGGACATTTTCATATTCATGGAAAACATATACAAGACAGAGGCATTTCTGAGTACATACATATATATATCTTATATATTTTAATAATTTGTTATATTAGTAAAATAAAAATTGGAAAAGCTGAACCTTTGCCATGTGGTTGGTCTTCCCACCAGACAACTTATGCTCATTGAGCATAATTTATTCATAACACCTGAACATTCATTTATGGGATGCAACTACAGTAAGATTGCTTATTTGGGACATATTTGAAGCCAATGTTTCTTAATAAGACAGTGAATTAAACATCAATAAACAAGCTTGCATAAGCAGCTGATAGATTTTGCGGGTGAGTATGGCAAAGGAAGGAATCAAACTTCATTAAGTAGTGCCTTAGAGGGCAGTAAGGCACTGGCACTGCAGCACAGGCTGCCTAGATATTTTGTGGATGCCACAACCCCGGTAGCATTCAGGACTGGGTTGGACAGGGCTCTGGGCAGCCTGATCTGGTGGAGTGGCAGTCTTGCCCATGGCAGGGGGTTAGATCTTGATCTTTAAGGTTCCTTCCAACCCAAACCTTTCCATGACTCCATGAAAAACAATAGACTCTATTTAAGAAAAGGTGGTGCTTGTGTGGGGCAATAGAGAGGAAGAAGCAGAAGCCAGATCAGGCTGCTGCTTTTCCAGAGGAACACATCCCTGTTTCCCTACTGCCACCACAGCATTTGGTGATGGAGACGTACTGCTGGTTCCCTGCTGTCCCACCACATCCTAGCAAGGACATCCTGATCTCATAGCTTCCCCTCAGGCTGTCTCGCACTTACTGTCTCTGTCAGAGCAATTTAAGATTATTCAGCACTGCAGCCCAAAGGAGGAAAAAAAAAAAAAAAAAAAAAAAAAAAAAAAAGGCAATTATACTTGAAATTGAAGCTTGGAATGGGAGTGCAAACAAGAAATCATCTGAGTGCATTTAGTGCTATTATTCTTTTATTAATAATTTCTTAATTTCTTATTTCTGATAAGAAAAAAAGAGAAAAAGAACTCTTTAACTGTCTTTCCTGCTTTCTTATGTCAGAAAAAAATGGATTACATGAACTGACAGAAGAAAGCTTGTCTTTTTAAGGTGAACACCACAGCTTCTGCTTCAGTCAGGTTGAAGATAAAAGCACTAGCACATGAAGTGTTCACTGAATGTGTAATTTCAGCATGGGAACACCTCTGAGAAGCATATTTTGTTAACATTTTCTTTCAGAAGCCAAGGATTCTTTTTTCCTCAGTTCCATGTGCTTTTGCACAAAAGATAAGAATGCGATTACCTGTTCCTGTAGTTGCTGAAAGTACCAACATTACTAATACGTTAGTGTATATTAAAAAACAAAACAAAACCCTAAAATAATGTCTTGCATTTGCATGTATTCCATATGAAGCATTCAAAGTCAACAAACCTCTAGGGAAGCAGAAATGGGGACACTGGACTGGGAGAAGACTTCTCTCCTGCAGCCCCAGTCTTGCTACCCTCCCCATGCAGGGGGCAGTGGGAATTTGTCCCCAGGGACCCTCACTGCTCAACACTTACTGGCAGTGGTAACTCCTGCACTACTCCAACCACAAATATTATTTTACAACTGTATTTGGACTGACTTCTATCTCTTCAGCATGAGTGCGAGCCACATTGGCTTCATTGAAGTTACCTGCTGGTAAGAGTTTCAGGACTGCAGCTGTCCTCATTACTGGGTAAAAATGAGTTTCCTTAAGCTAAAATTGATGAGTGCCTTAGAGAGTGGTGAAAGTTACTTCAGTGAGAAAAAAACAACTCTACATGGCCACCTACAGCAGTCATTGCTAAAACAAATGGGACTGTCTTTTCAACAGTCAAGTGACTAATGTGTTTGACTTTCAGAGGAAAACATTGTCCTAATTAAGGGTTAAATGATTCAATTTGAATTCATTTCAAATTAAAATACTAGACTGTTAAGTATATTTCAGCATCCAGACTCTATAGTCTGCTATACACAACACTACCACAAACTCCTAGCCATACACACCATGAACACATGGAAACCGTGCAACCGGTCTTGCAGTCCTACTGCCTCAGGCCACCATCACCAGAGGATGTCTCTCTGCTCTTCATGCCAGGAATAGAAGTACCAGGCCTTGGGGCCTGCATCAGTCACTGCAGCACACTGGAGAAGGATACGGCTGCAGCTACTATGCGATCAAGTGCTCCTCTGCTGCTCAAGTAAGCAGCCCAAGGATGAAACATCACTGTGGCACTGAGCCACAGAATTTAGCAAATAAGGGAAGGTAAAGATTTTGCAGCATTGTCAAGTCCATTTTGGAAGCATGTACAACTTTCTTCTCACCACATGTGTGATGATCATAGTCAGGAGATGATGGCAGCTCAATCTTCTTATCAGCAGCAGAATTGGACCCATATACTTGTGCATATATATGCACAAGTGCAAAATCAGATGTGGCACAACATTCGGCTTGTGAAAACAGGT